CAAGTGTTACACACACAGACACACAAAAGAATTAAGAGCACTGGTTGTTTTATGTTAACATTACAAAATTACAAAGAACATGTCAGATGTAATGTACAAGTTGGATCCCAACACATGCATAAAGTAAATACAATGTGATTCGAACTGCAGTGGACTTGCATTAATAGCAGTCCATGTGTCTGCAGGATCTGGAGAGACGAAACGCAGAGCTGGAGGATCGGGTTCAGAGCGCTGAAAAGACGCTGGCCTCCAGCCAGGAGGACCAGGAGCAGGCGGAGGTCGAGGTCCGACGTATCATTGAGGTTCTGGACATCAAAATCTGTGACTTGAGCGACCTGAGACAGAGCCTGGCAAAACTCATTGATAAATAGCCACAGCTGCAGTTGGGCTGTATCTCCTCAGTCAGAGCTGGTGCCCCTCATGTTGCCTTGATTTATTTTTCACCTATATCAAAGCAATATGGAGGGAAAAGTGCAGGAAACACTGTATCAGAAGCCTCTTTCAGGTGCCATGTGCTGATTAAACCATCTGTTCTGTGCATCATCGTCGCATTAATGATGCAGTTTTGATATAATTATCATAAACAACTGACACTTTGGTTGGATTGGCTACTCATTCTTGTTCTTTTTTTTTTTTTTTTTTTTTCTTCTTTTGGTCACAGTTCTCATCAGCTGCATGTGCTTCAGCCCTTCAGTTCTGAGGAGGATAAATGATTTTTACTCCAGATTTTTACTTCTGTTTCACCATCTGCTATCACTGGCAACTCTGAAAGCTTTAGTTCCCTTTACACTGGAGGGACAGTGCCCTTGTCCCCCTCTCTGCACCAGACCAATCAAGTATATTTCAAAATCTGACTGGTGCCTTACAATATAACTGCAGAGCCATGCTGCTAGAAGCTGATGGTCTCATTTGTTTATGGTAATTATCCTGATGCCTCAACATGAATGATTTATTCATAGCAATACACAGGACTGCACAGAGCACCTTTGAAAGACAACTTGCACCAAAACTGATTTTAAGCTTGCTATTTTGCAAAGGTAGACATTTTATATATATATATATATTCTCTTACTGAATTGAGAGGCACGAGCTGGCATAAGAATTTGAGGAAAAAAGGGCCGTACAGTGTTTAATAAAAACCACTGGTGCTTCAAATTCCTGCAGAGATGGAGGGCTGAACCACTCAAACATGTTTGGGCACAGACCATAAACTGTAACAGCAGGAGCTGCATCAGGGAACGAGGTCTTAATTCCAGACATTTAACATATAGAAACATCAAAGCGACTGTCCATAAATGCTTCTTTCATGGCAGTTTGGCAGGAGCTCTTTTCACATTAAACTAGTTGCCATGGGCTGAAACATAATATTTCTGTATAAATAAAGCTTTAGGATTTAAATTTTCTCACAATTACTGGTCAGTCTCTAAAGTCAGTCCTAGTAAAAAAAACAAAAAAAACTGCACAAGTAAAATGTCTACCTGTGTACAATAACAAGATAGTGTTCATTTTGGCATTGTGCTGTAACTGTGGAGATGCACCCAGGAGGAGTGTAGTCGAGGTAAGGACACGGGGAGGCAAAGATGCTGAATAAAGTCAGTTCCAGTTCACCATCAGCAGCCTGGACTGGCTTAACACCAGCCACAACATGAACAAACTCAGAGATGAAACAAGCTGCTCCCATTTTTATGTCCATGTTTCATAATGACTGTTACTAACAGTCAGGATTGGAAATCAACAATTGCTACTTGCCTAAATGCTGCAAAATTCGAGCAGTGGCTGGTAGCCCCCACCAGCCACTTTGGCAGGTAGTTGTTGAAGGATAGACAGGTCTTGATGTGTCACTTTGGCCCGTGGACAAAAGTGCTTTTTTTCCACCCTGATATAGTCGAGTTGAACCTGGGATTGCACTTGATAATGTTTGTGCCAATTTTTTTTTTGTTTACATTTGTCAGTGTTCACAGAATGATTCAGTTCTATTTTATGTATTTTCTCTGTTTCACAACACTGCAATTTACCATATTAGTAATAGAAACTCAGTGGAGCCGCAGGACGTTGATCACCAAGAGCACTGCATGACCTCTGCAGAAGCACCTTGGATGGAATATGAAGCTCTCTGTGCGTGTGCATGCATGTGTGTGCATTACTTAGCAGTGTGCGATCTCAGACTGCTCCAGCTGAAAAGCACAACTGCAGTAGTTCAATTAAATAGGTACTTAAATGACTTGTCTATCAAGCTTTGTATGTGAACATCTGATGCACACTTTTGCTCTTGTCTTTTAGGCCCCTGATGAGTTATAGATTCTTCATATGACAGTAATATAGATAAAAGTAAGGTGCTGTTTCTTGTAGCTACTTCTAGTACAGTAACTGCCAGAATCATAACATGTAAGAATGTGATTTTTAAATAGGTCATAACAAAATCTCTTGATGTAATATACTGCCAGATTATTTAATAGCACCATTACATCATGTATTGTTACTTTGGGAGGGTTGTATCACTTCAACTGATGGCGTATTTATTATACTCGTAGTTTGGGTTAACTACACTCCAATTTTATCATAGGTCAGCAAAATGATCACCTGAACAGTTTCAACCAGTCTAATATAGTGATAAAATGTTAATGCATTGTTTTGTGACTGATCACGTTTAAGAGTTTTATTATACTGTAAAATAAGATGGATGGTTCATCACTTTGAACAGTTATTACACTAGCTGGCATTTCTGGCAGCAGCTCCTATATACTAGTATTACTGAATTAGCAATAAAGTTTATAGCATAAATGCCTGTTTGCAATTGATGCAAGTAGAGTAATTTGTAGGTAGACACCTCGGCAATGCCTGTCCTCATCCATTTTAACAACAGAAGTGTGTGGTGTTTTTTTTTTTTTTTCTCACGACTTCACTAGGCTATGTCCGATTACTACCAGCCTTTTATCACGCATCAAGAAAACAGACCAGCAGCTCCCCAGCATGAGCTCCTCTGTTGATGTCAAACACTTAATTTGATAGCAGTCTTATTCCAGTGTATAATTACTGCACATTAACACTCTGTGAATACAGTTGGAGCCATTTCTGTGTGCACAGAAAGGGATCAGGGAGTTATAACTGCATCTTCCCCTGTCTGACCTTTCTATTGAGAGGTTGTGGTGGAAACAGAGCAGACTTGTACAGAATCTGCTAAGTATTAAACTACTGCTAAATTACTATTATTAAACTGTTGGTGTTCAAGGTACAATTTTTTTTTAATAGTTCTATAATTCAAAGTGAACTAGATCAGTACTATTGTATATCTACAGCAAGTAGGTATACAATAGAAGAGTAGAAAATCACAAACTGATGCGTAAAAAGAAATGGCAGGTCAAGGCTCGTTGCCCACGCCACATAAAACAATCTACAATAAATGATAATGAGAATGTGAGAGACAAGTGGACGCTGAAGCCACATAAACTGGAATAAACAAAAAACCTGTGTGATGCTGAACTTTCATCTCCTTTAGATTATCCATGTTAGTTTTGTTTTTAACTGCACATTGCTAAGTGTCCACAACATCTGACCTTTTAGTACATCTTAAATACCTCAAGTTAATTCAGGTTAGTTTCATTAGGTACTGGTCAATAAAGGAAACCTGTCGGCCAGCGTTGGTCAGTTCAAGGCCACACTTTCGTCATTTGACAAGAATTGAACTTAAGGAAAGCAGATGTTCATATGGGATTTGATCATGTGAGATGAGCTTATATTTGTATAGAACTGTTTAACATTAAAATTCACTCATGCAAAGTCACTCCTGTGTTCTTTGTGATAGGAGGGTCATGTTTGTATTCAACATTGTCCAGTTTGCACCTTACACTACCACATACGATTTGTCCCTGATAAACTTGTATTTTGATAGCTTTAGTGCTGTATGGGTGAAGCTGCTACCAGCCAAGTGAAACATTTTAATAGTCTGCTTTATGGCATTTTATGTGCCAAAGCGCCATCAGCTCAGGCAGACAAGCAGCAGGTGCTGTATCAGGTGCCAAATTGAAAGTTGAAATCCGCAACCAATACAAACTGGTACAGTACCACTGAGGATTTTAAGTGCACCACTCCTGGATTCAATAAGGGCCAGTTCCAAGAAGCAGGTTTGTCAAATTTTCTAAACAACTGAGTAAAAAGGTTTCATGGAAGAGCCCTCTGGTGTACAGTTTCCAAACCCTTCATGTGAATATCTGAAATCTTCCTTGTGCAATCAGGAATATAAGTTTACTGCACCAGCTCCATCTTGTTTCTTGGTTGTTTTCTTGCAGTTAAATCACCCTGAACAACTAAGTACTGCATGCAATTCAATTTAAAAACTACCAATTCCTTTCTGTCTTGTAAAAGTGCCACTGAATAGCCAGTCAGACAAGCAGCATAATTTTCCTGTGTTTATTTTAACACAAAATGGTACAGAGAGCCCATTCAGTCAAAATGTCTACTTCAGCTTCTTCTTGGGGCGAAGGTTGTTTGTATGCCCACACTTCTTCTTGCGACAGTTGACAGCACGGGGGTGCAGACGGGCATAGCACCTGCGACGCAAGAGGACAGGTCAACTAAAAGGAAAATCTTGAAAATTGTCAGTGGATCAAAATGTCTGAAAAGTTAGACACTATACTGTGTACACTGGCATTTAAAAGTATTCTAGTCTTCACTCTAAACAACCACTTCAGTGAACATAACAGCAGCGTCACACACATACGTAATGAAATGGCACATTTGATGACGGTCAGTAGTGGACTTACTTGCGGCAAATCATCTTGTCGCAGTTGTATTTCTGGGCCAGCTGCCTGAGTGAAGGCTCAATGATACCACCACGCAGACGCAGAACCAGATGCAGAGTTGATTCTGATGGGCAGTTAAAGACACCTTAATGTCAATCGCAAGCTCTCTACATTTAGACCTATAGAAAAGCTTTATTAAAAACACCCTTATTAGCACTTTCGCCCTAATGATTTCTAGAAGGCCCCTGTTTAAACTTACATGAACCCTTTGCTGTTTATAATTTGTGCTCTAATAAGCTTGTCTGTGGTTTACTGAAACAAAAATCTAACTGTAGCAGGGTAAACGTCCTAGGATCCAGGCCTATCAAGGATGATGTGAGGCACATATGGCCAAAAATGCTGCATACATAGAAACCAGAAAAGCATAATGCTGTGTTGTGCTGATGACAGTCATTTTATTCACACCATTGTATCACCCTTCACACTTGAAACTATTTATCATTTTAGCATGTGAGGAGCTTTGTCAGTGTGCAAGAAGTTTTTTCTATGTACAGGCCTAATAGTCACAACAGACATATCCAGGGCATATAGTTTTGATTCAAAGTTGTTACCTTTCTGGATATTGTAGTCAGACAGTGTGCGTCCATCCTCCAGCTGCTTGCCAGCGAAGATCAGACGCTGCTGATCAGGGGGAATTCCTGCAAGAACAACACTACTTGTCAAACAATGTAAGTATACACATAACCAAAAATGTCTATGCACAAGAAAATACTCCAAGTGGCTGAAATGTTTGGCCATGACTTAAACATATCTTTTGAAAGCAGGTAAATATTTTATCTGCTTATCAATCACAGTGCTTAAATTTCCTTGGATACAAGGCCAGAATCCGGTTTCTCATCAAACCAAATCTACTGCCTTTCCTTGAAAAAAAAAAACCTCTGCATAAAACTCTTTGTCATAAAGTAGAAATTATAAAAGTGTAAGCTGCTGCTTTAAAATAACATTCAGTAGTTAAGACTTAGTTAAATGTGAGGGCTCACCTTCCTTGTCCTGGATCTTAGCCTTGACATTTTCAATAGTGTCGCTGGGCTCAACCTCGAGGGTAATAGTCTTCCCTGTCAACGTCTTCACGAAGATCTGCATGTTTGCAGGCTGAGAAAGAACACTAATGTTAGCTTTACCGTCAGACGTGCAGCTAGCTACTTCCTTGACCACACGATTATTGACATTTTCACGTAAATAACACAGAAACCATAACAGAAAGACAACAAAGTTACTAATTAAACAGTAATATTGGCATCGCTTGTTTCTTAACCGTCGTATGTGTGTTGACCGTAAAGCCTGAGCAGAATTTTGGCCGATAACGTTACTAGCTAAGGTTAGCGTTAGCATAAAACAGTGGACTCGGTGTGCGGCCTCCCCACATGCCTACTGTTACTATGAGGCGCTGTCAAGATTTTCTCAACTTTCTACCTTGGAACTGAGCTAATAACAGTAAAATATGCAATTGTTGCTGGTATGACTAACGATGGTATGTTTTTATTACAGAGTTCAGTAAAAACCGACAAAGTCCTACTACACGAAACGTGTACCCACCCGGTAGATAGCTCAGCCTCAACCAAAAGAGACCGGAAGAGGGTGACACTCAAAAACGTCACTTCCTTCTTCATGGTTTATTTGGGAATAAAATATAGTTCATCGTTAATTGCTGTTAATATTAAAGAAAGAGCATTTTATATATCAAACGTACCGGTTAGAATAATCTAAGAAATGTACCCGCTCATTTAGCCTTAAATTTATTACATGTCTAAAAAGTAACTAAGTACATTTACACAAGTAGTCTACACTTGGCTCAAAATACTTCAGGCAGGCTATGTGTAGGCTGCTTTAACGTTAACTTACTTGATTATTTCCAGTTTCTGCTTTCTACTTTTCCACTAAGCTACAACATACAATAGGCCTAAAGAAATACATGGTTATATTTATTGAGAGAAATTCTCAAGCTGCCTAGTAGTGAATTCATTAAAATTAGTCCCATCTTTACCAGCTGCAACATTACAGTAGCGTATTATATGTAGGCTACTGTGATCTATTACAGAAATATACATATTGTAGCAGTGGGGCGGAAAGTCCCCCAGAATGCCGGAGGGGAGAAGCACCTGGCAGCATACCACATTGTGCCCTTATGGGTGACCTATATATAGTTCTGGGGTGGTGTTAGTATGTTTTGTGTTGCTGTGTGTTCCCCAGTTTTTGTGCAATAAAATGGTGGCTGGTGAAAGAGTATTAAAGGGCAAATTGTTCTCAGACCCCTTCTTCAACCCAGCCAGTGTTGCAATATTAATGCACCATTAGGGCTAATTATAGCATACGGACCATTTGCCATAACAGGTTATATGTTTTGTAGACTAATTTAAGTAGGCTATACTTTGATTAGAATAGTCTACTCTTAGGTAGGGCCTACATTTTTGAATGCAGGGCTTCAGTTTGTAACTGCGTTGGCTATTTGTACACTCTGGTTTACTTTTACTTTAATTAAGTTAAACTTACAGTACTGTATATATACTTAAAGTATATTTAACAATTTTGCTTATATGTGATACAACAAATGTGTGAGGGAACCACTCAGTCCTCCTGGTTATGATCCTGAAATGTTACCCAGTTTTTTTGTGGACTGAGAGAGGGTGCTGAGTCACATTTTTTATATGTGTTTCAGATAACATATTGTTTCTGAGCTACACATGATTGCTTCACACTGAAGTTTGACTGCCATCTGCTGTTGTAATGACAAAAGTGATTTAGAGCTACAAAATAGACGTGGTAATGTAATGGGCAAATGTCATGTAGCCTATCCTTTAGTATTTAAATTAAATAAATCAAATGGCAAGAAAGATGCACTTTCATTGAATGGATTTCCATATGCAATATTCATGCAATATCAAAACCTTTCTTTTGATATGATGTTAAATATTTATGCTTTTTATTTGACAGTAGCCAATTTCAGCTACTTTATGTTCATATAGTTCATGTTAAAGGATTTGTGCAGGTATCCTGTGTCATATTTGATCGTGCTAATGCTGTTCTTCTTTATAGCTGAACCACACAGATCATCCAGTGCATGTGTCTGGACAGAACCCGATAACCAAAAGCCATGTAGAGTTCAGCCCACCCCATCTGTCAACCCTGTACTACACAACCACAGCCAAAGAACAATACAGCAAAAAGGACAGGGAGCGGGCCAGTTTAGCCATCCAGCTGCCAAGCAACATGTTGAGTGGACCAGGTGATGAACTGGTCTTATGTGTGTGTGTTTAAGGGAGATTCATGTAGAGATTAAATGTGTGTGACTTGTTGGCAGATCCTGGGCCAAGCCTCAGCACCACCAAGGCAGACTTCCTTCCTTTGAAGACCTGCAGAAAGACACCTTGTCTGTCACAGCAGAGGGTGAGAGATCCTAAAGTAAAATAAAAAATGTTTGATAAATTCTCCACCCATTGTGATGGTAGTGGCAGAGGTAATAATAGCTGTTGTCATTGTAGTAACAATATTAGTAGAATTGAAGGTAACACGGTCGAACTCTCTTTCTTTATGTACACAGGTTTCTATTGTTGTCATCACTCTGTGTGTTATTGTATTGTTTGTTGCTGTATGTTAATCAAATAGAGCAACATCAGGTTTCCACTGGCTGAACAGCACTTCAGAACCACCCTTGGTGACGACTACAAGGCCAAACCTTTGACCCTCCAGCATCCTGGTGACAGACAATTCTGAACTCATTTTGTCACAATGTGACTGAGAATCACAATTTGCTCACTCGCTCTTGTGTCTCTCCCCCCCCCAAGTTATTCACAAGAGATATAAAGTCAAATCAAGAGTCAAGTCAGATTTTGTAGTGTTTCTGAAAATGTTGCTAAACCAGTAATGATACTAGATTCGAGTGTATTGCACCTTTCAAAATGGGCACCTATGCACAGTTGCTGCACAGACATTAAGACACTAAAAATAGCATACATCTTAACACTGAAGGTCAGGCATTAATTCTTGCAAAGACCAAGTTGAGCGCAAAAGGGAGCTGTTCTAGATTTTATATTCAAATATGTTGTTCTCTCACCATGAACTTCTCAAAATTATGCACATTATATCTCAACTGAGAATTTTGCTGTGAACAAGGATGTAACAGTGATATGCAAACTAGTGACTATCACTAGAATTAAGCAAGATTCCAAAAGATTATAAACTTAGTAGACTTAGATTGTATTTCCACATGGCATTTTTTGTGTGTCATAAACAAATACAAATGTAATGAACTCACTGTTAAATGGTTCCTACATTTTCAGCAACAACAAAAAGGTGTGGTGCCTTTAAACCCAGCTCATTAGAGCTTAAAATTCTTGTAAATGTCAAGCATGCAATCAAAACCACTTTGTCAGTCACATTATTTCACTGTGCTGTGTGTTTTACAGTAAACTACATAAAAACACTTCCTGGGGTGATAAATAAACTCTTACCCAGAGCAGTACAGGGGCAATCAGAGTGTGAAATGTGGAAGCAGTGAGTAAGTGCAGCTTTTTTCAGTAAGGTGGCTTAAAGATAATCCAGTCATATTTACACCTGGGAGAGAAGCAGCCTCAAACTTGACTGTTCTACTTCCATCCAGTTTACACAGTCAACACTAAACCGCTTAGAAGAAGGCCAAGTCTGTTTCACAAAAAGCTTCATGTTCCGGCCTTCAAACATATTTGACCACAAAACTGTGTCAAAACAATCTATGTTGTAGCAACAGCCATGACCGTGATATGCAGGCTCAGCTGGTACTTAAAAAGGAATGCAAACAGATCATCTTAACATGGAGTTCATCAGCCTGGCAAAATGGCAACACTCCAGGTATGGGCTGGAATTACAAGTCCAGGTTCAGGCCCAAAAGGTAGGGCTGCAAGAACATGTTTAAATACTAGATTAAACTCCAGATGGTGTGTTTGAGTTTGCCTGTTGGCTAATGCCAAGAGACATGCCAAATAAAGACAAATTTCAGTCAAAAATATTGTAAAACTATGGAATATTCAAAAAATGTAATTAAATGTACATATATCTTTGTGCACCTGATCATTTAAAAACTGGTTGACTGCATTAATGAGTGAACAAGTACTATAGTTCATGCTCAAGGACACGCTTCCAGATCACAGTTTTGACCTTGCTAATTTGAATCATATTGTTGTAGACATGAGAACAATACATGCAAATAATTCAGCAGATTTCTTGACTATAGGAGCACTGTAGGACTTTGTAGTGATACAACAGCTGATAAGAAATGTCACAAATTATGCTTACTGTATTCCTTACTTGATTCTCCAGTAATGTATTCTTTTACTTTACTGATAAAGTTTATAACTGAAAAGGTTTTAGAAAGACAACTGCTTCAGTGATGTGATTATGTCATTAGCTTAAGTTTTGGCCGCCATGTCATATAGTGAGGCACGTGACTTAAAAATCCCCAAACAGAAAATCTATGTTTCACTGATGTGAAAATTTCTTTCTAAAAACTTATTTTAAAAAGTCTACATACAATACTGATACCTCTGATAACCCTCCCACTCTGTTGTGAGATTCTGCGCACACTATGCAAAAATGCTAAAAGCAGACTATAAACAGTTCAAATTAGGAGGTACTGTGTTCTTCTGCTTCTCCTTCTTTGGCTTTACCTACATGGGCGAAGCCGGAGGGGTGGGGGTGGGGGGACATGCCCACTATCTGATTGGCCACCCCTAGTGCCACCCCCGTCAGATTCAAAATGCTAGTCATGATTAATGACTGAAAAATAAATACAGTACAATCATTTTCTGGTGCTTTATAATTGACATTGGTCAAATGAGTTTTATTTTATAACATGCATGCAGCATGATATTTGCATTCATTACTCCACTTGTGTTATGAAGTATGTGGGATAATTAACCTCAGTGGGGTGAGGGACCATGGTGCAGTAGTGATGCCCCCTGCCAGAAATACATAACTCATTTATACACAAAGAAATCATTTGATTGCTAATAATGTACATTTTATTATTTTATAGTAATATAGGTTTAATTGACTTTTTACATGTATGTGAGGATGTGCCCCAGCCTGGCCACCCCGTCCAAAGTTTTCTAGATACGCCCGTTTACTTGAACGCCCTTCTCCTCCTTCTATTTGTCATTGGTGTTAAAAAGGGAGCCGCTGTGTTTATGGGCGTTGAACCCTGCCACTGTTTACAATTATAAGGTTTCGCTTTTAACAACCAGTTGGAGTGAGCAGTTTCCAGATAAACGTCGTCTTTGTGAAGACGCTTCGTTGCTCCTGTCCTGCTGGTGAGTTTGAGACTTTTAAACTCACCTAGTTCACAGCTGTATTTATAAAACTCGGTGCACATAGGTCTACTGCATGTGTGCGTTCTATCAATACTCAGACCACATACCGATTTCGTTAAGAAAATGAAAAGAGCGGTCGTCCCCTAACCGAAAAGTCTGCGGTTAAGTGTCCTTGGGCAACACGTTGAACCTCAAGTCTCGATGAATCAGCGCCTTGCAGGGACAGCAACGCATGCGCGCGCGCGAGTGTGTGTGTGTGTGTGTGTGTGTCTGTGTCTGTGAGAGATGGCTGCCTCTGTTCTGTACCAGGGACAAATTCCTTGTGTGTGTAACATACTTGGACAA